AAATATCACTTATATGACTTATTTTTCTAAGTTATATTTCTTGATAATCCAAAAATACTCCTTGAGTTGACTTTATCCTATATTTAGTTTTGATAACTAATTTCTATATTTTTCTTATAGTTGAATTTCTTATATATATATATAAAATATATTCACTTATCATGTTTTTCTTTTTAATCTTTGTTTTCAAATTTGTATATAAAATTACATTCGTTTTTGTTCGTATCTTAATTTTTATTTTTCTTATACTTTTATTATAATGATATATTCATTATTGTAATGACAATATACAAAAATTCACATATGTTTGTGTTTGCATTTTAATTATTTTTCTTATGTTTTTTATAATGATATATTTATTATTGTAATGATATGTGATCTGTTTTTTTGGCTTATCAACCAATTTTTGTCTGTATATATATATATATATAATTGTAATCTTGCTAGTATATTTAAATATATATATATATATATATATGTTGCTACTATGGTAATGGTTCTAAGAATTAAAGGAAAATTTTTAAATCGTGTTTTTTCAATACTTACGTATTGTGGGATAAAATTTCTCCCGTATTTCTTATATATTATCTTTAAAGTTGATTTGTACAATCAATTCAAAATCAACAATATTATTATCAAGATCAATTATGTCATCATACATATACATTAAGCCATATATAAAATATTCACAAATTGCAGCCATATGTTAATTCCACAAACATAATTAAACTATATATCATTTACTCTTCTTTTTTTTTTCCGGCTAGAAGTTGACACGTTATGGACTTATGGTTGAAGCAAGGCCCAAGGACACTGCACATAAATATGGCTGCCAAAATGTACCGAGTCCACTTGTATGAGTAGCTGAGTGGGCTCAGAGTTTCTCTTTTTTTTTTTTTTTTTAAGGAAGAGAATTACTGAACTTATTATAAATCTTCATTTTTATCTTTTATTTTTTATTAATACTTTTTTAACTAATATAATTATTAAAAATAGTAGAAAATATGCCAATATAAAAAACTTAAGGAAGTATATAGGCCAACTTTTAGTTATAGAAATTGATAGGCCATAACTTGTCAAGTTATGGTTCATAATCAGATAAGTTATGGACAAACTTTTCAAGTTATGGTTCATAGCCAGACAAGTTATGGATAAAAACAATAATTTATGGACAATAACTTATCAAGTTATGGTTCATAACCAGACAAGTTATGGACGAAAACAGTAATTTTGCCTATTTATTAACTTATGTAAACTATTGGCCTATTAATTTTAATTTATCTAAAGTCTTAGTCTATTTCCCTCTTTCTCTCTATAATTATTTGATTAAACGAATATTAATCATGAATAAGAAGTAAAAATCTATACTCACTCTAAAGTATAAAAGATATTTGTCTCTTTTTTCTTTCTTGTATGAGTAGGCCTAGCATATTAAATTGCCTTTACTTTCTATAAACTAGTGTAATTAAGGCTGCATACCCTTTTTGAAGTTTTTTTTTTTTTTTTTTTTTTTTTTTTTTTTTAAAATTTTTTTTTTTTTTTTTTTTTTTTTTTTTTGCAAAATTATCCTTTTTGAAGTTTAGTTATCAGATCAGGGACTTCATATAAAATCTGATCTCTTTCACACACATGCGTGATTTGTAGGTCAGCGATTGGTTAAAGCTGTGAAGGATGCCATTCATTTTGGAATTCAGAGCTAAAGTATTGCCAATTATAAGTACTTTCACGATTAAATGATTAATATTTAGTAATGAAAAGGAAATATATATATATATATATACATGGAAATGCATGGGAGAGACTTCACTTCCCTTTATCCAAATTGGTATACTTATGAATCATGATCTCTATTTTTGACTAAAATATATGTTTACTTTAAATCTAACTAAGGAGATCACGATGATATGAAAAGAGCATACATATTGTAGGCAGAGGTGAGTTTAAATCTAAAAATTTGAAATTCATGATACAAAAAATGGAAAGTGCATCACATGCATTCATACGTACAAATATACATATATCTATTATAAGATTTACACACAGATATATACACATATATATATATATAATTAGTGTACATTCCATTAATATTGTTGCAAGCATGAATATGGCCAGTGGAGATCTTGTAGAAGCCTTCAATTCTGGCCTTTGGCCGATTCTTAGTTTAGAGACACCTTATACGTTTGGAAAGTCAATCTTCATTAGATTCGTGAATTATGGGAATCTAGTAATCAATGTGATGTATTTTCTTAGGTGTTTCATGTTCTTAGTTTTTAAAGTGCGCAAAGGTCGCTTAAGGTGATACGGGTATGTCCAACGTAGACCACTAGAAGCACAAGTTCGTGTTTGGGATGACATTCTTATACCTAATACTAGGAGAGGGAGGGGCAAACCAAGAATTACGTAGACCGAAGTAGTTAAGCAAGACATTCTAGATTTAGGCCTTTAAGAAAATCTAATTTCAAACAGAACTGCGTGAAAAGTGAAATCCATATAGCTGACCCTAATTAAGTTGAGATTAATTAAGACTTGTTGTTATTGTTGTTGTATACAGTTTCTTCTCTAACAAAATTTTAAATTTGACTTTTTATACCGCAGTATTTTTTCTCACATAAATTTACTTTTTCATCTCGAATTGGAAACTCAACTAGCAAAATGCATATATATTGTGCAAATCCTTCCTTAATGAATTGGTAGTCATTCATAAGTTTGCCTTTATTGGCTTTATAAGTTCGTTATTGTGAAAGTTGACCCGCAATTCAACGAAAGAATAGTTAATTAATGACTGATCGATGTTCTTTAAACATTACAATTATCGTCTAAATGGACGGTCCTGATCTCAGTTTTGGGATTTTTTTTTTGGGGGATATTTGATCATTTAGAGATGCAAGAACGGGCCGGCTCGGCCCATTCTCCTTAGGCCCATGCGGGTCGTGGGTTGGGCTGGCTCAGCCTACGAATTTTGTGGCCCGGGTCAGACTGGGCCGTATAAGAATTATCTCGGCCCAGCCAACACCATAGGCCAATTTTATGTGGGTCAGGCTGGGCTGTGCCGTGGGCTAAGATGGACCGTGTCATGGGGTTTTGAATGGGCTGGCCCATCTTGGCCCATTATGAGTTTAGATGAGCCAGCCCATCTAAGCATCTAATTTTTAATTTTTTTTTATTTTTTATTTTTGAATTTTTAAACAAGTTAACAAATATGAAAGTTTGAATAGTCAATGAAAGTACGAAAATAGATATTTTATTTACAATTGGCTCATTAAATAAAAACCTTACAGTAGGACAAAACATTAGTAAGAAAAAAAGAGTACACTCAGGATAATTATACATAAGATGTTTCCAAAATTACTAAAAAAAAAAAAACATGAAGATATTATGGGTCTATATGGGTTGGGCTGGGCTGACCCATCATGGGTATAGACGGCTCGGCCCAAGCTCAGCTTGACCCATGATTTTTCATGGGTCGTGCCGAACCAGCTCATGAACCGATATATGTTGGCCAAGCCCAATCTACTAATATTTATGGGCTAGTCCGTGCCTTAAATAGTGATGGACTATGCTGGCTCGACCCGTCACTGTGTCAAAATGGGCCTGAGCAGGCTCACGAGCCCCGGCCCATTATTGCATCTCTGTGGCCATTTCTGCTAAACTTTTCCTCTTTTCCGATCATATTATTCACTGTAAATGCACGTTACAAATTTAATGATCAGCATAAATTCAAGCTTAATTGGGAATAATATGAGTATATGACATGCATTACTTTTAGCCCCCAAGTCACGAATATATATTAAAAAAAATTATTTATCTTGCTAGAGGAAATATATATTGCCATAGAGTCTTGCTATAGGCTCCGTATTTAACCAGCTCCGCACAGCACCAGTTCCACGTGGCACAAGAAGACAAAAAAGTTGTTGCAAAGATAGAAGTGGTAAGGCTCATGGTAATTTCATTGAAACTTCTCCTTTTCCTGCGTCAAGCAGAGCCGGAATAGTGTTTTGATTGCCATATCACAATATATAATCCACATTAGTCATCTATTTTTTTTTTCCTTTTTACATAGATCACGTAATTGCAAACAAATTAAAGAGGAAGAGAAATAAATGATCGAGAGAACTATTAACGTTTCACCGATTCAAATTTTTAGTTTTAGATTTTTACAGTAAAAAACTCTCAGAAAATGTCACATCTAACTTTTTTTACTACAGTAAAAAGCTCTTAAAAAATGTCACATCTCAGCTCAAATTGAAAACTCAAATTCGCGAAGTGAACGAGGCTTCGTCCCTTGATAATTCTTGCTTTTTCCCCGGTCCTTTTTTTAAAAAAAAATTTTTCAGCAAGCATTGACTGACCGCTACCTAATTACTAGTAAAACCAATTAAAGAGTACTGTACAACATTAACCATTTAGGACATGTTTTTTTTTTACCGTATTAGAGTACCGTATCATATAATAATATAATAATATAATATTTAGTGTGACTATCATATTGTATAAATTAAAACAAATAACAAATGGTAAATTAATATGGTTTATGTCGTACTATTGAATACGGCTCATTTTTAACGTATTGTATTATATTATTTTATAATGGATCAATAATTTATGTCAGAGTTAGACACGACTAGAGGTCGGAGTCAGGCCGACATATGGTCATGATGGAGCTTATAATTGCTGAAAAATTTTAGGGACATAATGCAAATTTTATATTTATTAAAAATTATATTTTGACCCTTAAACTTTTTATAAATTACATTTTGACACCCAAAACTTTTGTAAAATTACACTTTGACCTCATAAATTTGATAAAATTTCATTTTTGACCCAAAACTTTTGAAAATTATATTTTTGATCCTCAAATTATTAAAATTTTACATTTTAACCCCTTATATAATACGTTGTGACACCAAACACCGTATTATATTATGATAATACAATACAATACAATACACTTTATACAATATAATACAATACAAGCTATCAAATATGGCCCTAAAATCTTAGTCTAGGAGGTTGTTAGAGGGTGCAAGCCTCAGCTGAAGATCAAGATCATCACTTCCTTGATCATGATAATTAATGCCTAATTCTCCATGACAAACACCTTTATTATAACTTACTTTTGGATATTCATGATCATGATCAGACATATCGACATTTTCGGTCATCGGTTTTACCTCGCCGCCAGCAGCAGCACCTGCGCCAACGCCGCTCGTCGACGTCGCCAAAGATGATCCCGCGGCAGCTTGCACGGCTATAATTTGGCCAGTACTAGTAGTACTGTAATTACTTGCCACAAAATAGTAAGGGTTTTGATAAGGATTGTTGTTAACATTATAATTAGGATGGCCTAATTGGAATTGAGCTCGGAGTTTCGCAACCTTCCTCTCGGACTTGTGAGCGTTCTGGTGACCACCCAATGCTTGAGAAGTCGCAAACTCCTGATAACAGTACTCGCACTTAAACCTAGATGATAATCTTTTGCTCATATTATAATAATTATAATTGTAACTATTACTGTTGTTATTACTACATGGTAATTCTGGTTTAGGCCTAATAGTAGTATTATTAACGGGCATTTGGATGTCACGGCTTGTAACTGGGAAACCAAACAGCTTAAAGACTTTTGATGATGATGATGATGATGGTTTTTTCTTCTTACCTTCATGATCGGCAGAGAAGTTTTTTGATGATGATGATGAACAACTCATGATGTTTGTATACATATAAATTGAACAAAACCCCTAGATTAAAGAAACTGCCTAGTTTATATTGTAAGGGTGTTTTGGGATGTGCTATATATAAGAAGGCATGGTTCAAGGGTGTATATATAGAGAGATGAATTAAGCAAATTATGGCAATTACTGCAGAAGTGGCTAGCTACCTATATTTGGAAATGGTAGTAATACTATTCGTTTTAGAACTTTTATGTGATAGCGACCCTCACTATATATATATATATATATATATATATATATATGTATGTATGTATGTATGTGTATATATATAATATGTGATTAATGTAATGATATCTTGTGTAAATAGTTAATTAAGTAAAATATGTACGATTACTTTTCCTAAGTACTTTGGGAGGTTGGATTAAGTCAATTTTTAAAAAAGTTGAAACTAATTTCCACTTTAATAATTATTATGCATAGAAGTGTCCCTTTCAGAAAGGAGAAATCCTAAGAACATGCAATATTGTAGCCTGTAAGTTATGATCTGTTTATGTTAATTTTCAACCAGTTTTGTTGTGTGATTAACTATTTGTGTTGCAAATTGTGCATCAGGTATGAGATCCAAACACATACTTGCACGCAAAACCAAGCATCATTCCATTGTTTTTGGCAAAATTTGCTCACCCTGCTTTCACCAAAAAGTCGTTTGTCCATTTAACATTTTCCACACTAAACAAATCGACAAATCTTCCATGTAAATCCAGAACGAAAGGGGCCAAGAATGAATAAAAAAATCAAAAAATTTGATGAACGCCCTTGCGACAATTGTCGAGATATTGTTGGTGCTCCAAAGAATATTGTATGTTCTTTTTTGTTTGTAATTGGATAAAAAAATTTAGTTGTTTGATCATGTAATCATTTTGTATCATAGAGAAATTAAGATGGAACGAGATTAATCTACTATAACTAGAATAATATTCCACTAACTTACCCTTGTCTATGTCTTAAACTAAGTCTCTCTCAAGAATACCCAAGACTTGACTAACATTTGAATAAAAAAAATCATTTTTTAATATAATATTATTTTTATGTCAAATTTAACAATAAGTATAGCATAGGTTAATATTGACATTTCATCGTTATTGGTTATTAGTTAAAGTATTCTCTTTCTCCTTAAATCATTACACCAATGTTAATTTAAATTAAAATGTTTACTTTTACAAGTTCTAACCAACGATAATGATAAGAAATGAAAAGTAAATATAGCCCTTAAAATAAGGACTATCTCCGGTAGGCCGTACTATCAGTAAGATCAGTTTTCTAACTGTTGGATCTGATCAAAAATCAAATGAGATTGAAAAAATATGCAAAACAGACAGTTTTTAACACAGATTTGACGACTGAAAATGACTGAAAAAAAATAGAATTAATCCTACGGGAGAAACTCCCTAATATTAATACAAGTAAAATGCTACCTTTTAATTTGTCTAAATATAAACAGTATGTCAATCTTTTAAAATAGTATAGTTGAAGAGAAACACAACCATACCTTCTATTTTATCGACAATATATTATTAGTGCCGGTATTATTGTACGATGAGCAGAACTATTCGATAAATATTGCCAAAAAAAGGGTGCAGTCCCTTTGAAAAAGGATACGAAAATTAGGCATGCAGTGGCCATCTCCATCGATACAAACTGTGTCCCTATGTGGCTATAAATCAAAGATGAAAGGAGTGATAAGAGAATGACATGGTACTTCAATCCTTTACTTTTTATTTTTATTTTTTTTTTTGCTAGTCACAATATTAGTACTTGTTTTTGTGACAATTTTATTTAGGATAAAATCATTTTAATACCCTGAATTATACAAAACATACTCTTAATATCCTGAAGTTGATTTTTAAAACGTAAAATGACCTTAGTATCTTTTTATTTAGTTGACCAAAAATTAATAAATCTAGGAAAAAAAATCATGAGCTTTTTTTTATTTTGTTGTTTTCTTTTAAATATTTTAATGTTTTAAAATATTTTCAGATTTTTAAAAAAATATTGATTTCTATTTAATTAACAAGAATGGTAGTTTGGACATTACATGTCTTAAAAATCAGTTTTAAGGTATCAAGAATATGTTTTTAAAAACGTTGAGGTACCGTTTTAATATTATAAAAAACACATGATATCAAAAACATGTTTCGCTGTAACAGAGAGTACCAAAATAATTTTATTCTTTTTTGTTTTCCTACTAGTCAAGACTAGAACCTCTTATAACTTTTATTTGAAAGTTATATTTGAGACGTATGTACAGTGGACTTTTTGTTATAGCTAGAAAATTAGTTAGTATATATGATCACGAAGAATGTTAAGGCTCATTTATTTCATATACTCAAATTTAAATAATTAATTATGTTACAATATTTTTCTCTCAAAAATTTGAATCAATTCATACTTTAGAGTGGCCCAGTGACCATGCAATATAACCGGACAATAATCATCATTTTTTGCACCATTAACAAAAGGTGTCAATTTTCTTATAAAGCACAAAAGTATTACACTATCTGCAATGACAGAGCCAGTCTTTCACTTCAGTGAAGGCGTACATTAAATTTTTTTTAACAAATTATCTTAGTGGGAGTATATATGAAAATATATTTATTTTAGTGGGGGCGGGACATAATTATTTCAGTGGGGGCTTAAGTATAAAATTTTAAAATTTTTAAAGGTAATATTTTTTTAAAAAAAATTTGAGTGGGGGTGGTAGCACTCACTGAGCTGTACTTAAATCCGCCACTAACTATCTGTCTCACAAAAAAAAATAAGTATTACAGTAACAAAATTGGAGTAGTAGGGCAAAAATTTGAGAAATTAAGGCTTAGCTATGAAAGATTAATTTTCTTCCCTAAATAATAGAGTTGGAAAAAACAATAGTTAAACTTAAAATTTTTTAAAAAAATTTGAGAAATTAAGGCGTAACTAGAAATGATTGCTCTTCTTCTCTAAATAATAGAGTTAGAAAAAATAACGGTTAAACTTAAATTTTTTTCTAAATAATAGGATTTGTACAAAATTATTACAAATCGCGTATTTTTCCCTTTAAAAACTCTCCCAAACAAGCCTCAAATACTGCTGAAACATGGAAATCGCTACACGCCAATAAACGACGAATGCTAGCTCGAATCTTCTTGCAAATTGTTAAAATTGAAAAGTGACTGTCGGCCGCATTATTATTGCTCCAACAACTAACGCAAACTACTAGTCAAGACTAGAACCTCTTATGGCTTTTATCTGAATGATATATTTGAGACGTATGTACAGTAGGCTTTTTGATATAGCTAGTATATATACTTTAATTTAGACGTTTAGTTCACGGATTTAAAATTATAATTCAGAATTATTCTCGATTTATGTGTATTTTTTGTGAGAGAAAACACCGTAGCGAGCCACAAACCGTAATTCGAACCATTGCACGAATCCTCATACCAAAAAATTTAAATTTCAAACGTCATAATCAAGAATTATAATTTGAGTATACTTTTTAAACGGATCCTTAATATATATATTTTTAGCTTGATTAATGGCCTTTCTCCGCAAAGTGACAATTAAGTTCACTTTTTTTTTTTTTTTCTTCTTCTTCCTTTGAACAATCAAGTTATTCATTGTTCATGGCCCATATAATGGACTCTCTCATGTTTCTTGCACCTCCCATTTTAGAGCACATGACAGCGTTTGATATTGATCGCTATAAATCTATTCTACATATAATAGGGAATAGCAATATAGTCTTTATAAGAAAAATTCTTCTAGCTAGCTTGCCAGCTTTGTTATCATGGTCCTTTCCAATTTTTGATACATGTATCACGAAAGTGAAGAAATTTTAAAAATAATCCTTATGTATTTATTTATTTATTTTCGAAAGTATTCTAGGGCCCTCGCTGATTTAAATTTTTAATTCGAGTTAAGATGTGACGTTCTGTGAGAGCTTTTCACTGTAGCAAAAAAGTTAGATGTGATTGTTTCTGAGAGCTTTTTACTGTAGCAAAACTCGAATCGGCGAAATGAACGGAGCCTACGTGTTAAAAAAGGAAAAAAAATGCTCCAACCATGGGATAATATGCTTTTGAAAAAAAAAAAAAAAAAAAAGAAGAAGAAGACGAAGAGGACAAATGGTTAATTCCATGTTGAAGATTTTTTTTTTTTGAAAGCTTCAATTAATTTATGTTTGTGTTTAATTTATGTCTATTTGTAAGACTTGTTATTTTAATTGTTAAATTTGATGAATTAAGATGGAGCTTAGTGTAGAATAGGAGCTTTTAAGTTAGTTCCAACGTTAATTGGATCTGTTTTAATTTGGATGCGTTTAGTTGGTGGATTCGTGGCATGATTCGAATAATGGTCTGTGGTTCGTTATAATATTTTTTTTATAAAAAATACACGTAAATCAAAAATAATTCTGAATCTATAGTTGTGCGTAAATCAAAAATACACGTAAATCGAAAATAATTCAGGGATAAATTGGTCCTTTCACCATCCCTCAATTGGTTGTGCGTATTGCATGCGTCGACCCTAGAACACACGTCATAATAATGTAATATTCCTTAACCTTGGACAATATCTCAGATTCTATTGACATTGGACAAATAGCATTTCAAGCAATTCTCATGGAAAGGAGAAAAAAGGAAAAGAAAATGACAAAATATGAACAGATGTTGCTTAAGGACTAGAAAGCACCAAAAGAGATATTGTCATGCAATTGGTAGGGGCCGGATCAGAACATGTGTAAGGTTAGGAGACGACATGTTCAAAGGTAACAATTATTACTGTGTTTTTTTTTTTTTTGGTTATTTTTTTTTATTTGGCTTTTATAAGAAATGAAAGGGCCGATTCCAAACCAATGAAACAAGTGGACCTCAAATTAGGTTTGGCCGAAGAGACAAGATCACCTATCCATAGAATATAATCAATGGGACTTCATGAATCACTTCTCCTTTCCATCTCTTCATATTATAATTGGTGCTTGACTGTATAGCTTTCCATATTTATGTCTCACCTCTAATTCAACCCTTAGCGATTCTAATAGCATCTTTCATTTATATATATATATATATATATATATATAAGATGTCTTAAGTCTCGGCACTCAGACTAATCTAATAAATGTATAATTTTTTTATATTTTTGTGTAACGTCATCTGTTCATATATCTAACACTCAATTAACTTAAGTGTAACATTCAAAAATATATATATAATTCAAAGACGTGATATTGAGTATAACACTTAAGTTAACCGAATGTTACACACACTTTGAAAGATGTTATGTGAGAATACAAAAAAAGTTATATTTATCGGACTGTATTTTACTCAAGACTTTACCTATATATAGGTCTTCCATATATACACGTAGATATATATATATATATATATATATATATATATATATATATCCTATTAGCAGCTCACAACCATCAATTTTGATTTAAATTTAATCTAAATCATGAATATATGTATTATAAGAGGTTATTAGCTCTATTGACACAACCCACTTACAAATGCACTTTTCCTCTAAAAAAATAATCACTTACTAAAAAAAAAAAATGTTTATAACACACCCCAATACTTAAAAAATTACTCTTGCAATAGTAAACACTTCAAATTTTCTTTTCCCACTCACATTTCACCTCCAACTTCCCATTACGTTAATCCTTAATTATCCCTTTCTCTCTTCGTCTTCAAATCCTAATTATAAGGTCCAATCGTACTTAATGTAGTGACAAAGAACATAAATCCAAATATAAAATGTCCGAAAGCAAAATCTGTTTGGATCAAGACGTTTATTGTTGTGGCGGAAAGCAATAAACATCATGTGATTACTGTTCATTGATTTAAGTTTTGTCATGTTTAAATATAAGTGTAATTCAAATCACATCCCAAAGCATTTGGCAGAATAGTCTTTGGATAACAACTATCGAATAAATCTACTTTGAATTCAATTAAAAAAAAAAAAAAAAAAAAAAAAAAAAAAAAAAAAAAAAATAAAAAAAAAAAAAAAAAAAAAAAAAAAAAAAAACTATCGAATAAATATGTGTGGAATGTAACATCCAAAAGATCTCCGAATCCCAAAAATGGCCCACTTCTAAATTATACTCTTCTTCTCACCATGAAATGTGGTTGTGGCTTTCTCTTACCATTATTAGAGCGATTTGCACAGTGCAAAGCTAAAGGCCTAGCCGATGGTGATCTGTATTATCAAACAATTTTGGACATTATATTGTTTAAAGGGATCTGCATTATTTCCCAAACACAATGAGTACGTTTGAAACTCATTCTAAAATGATTTTATTTTTTGTATAAAAATAGAAATAAAAATATTTTCAATATCAGACGAAAATCATTTTTGAAAATACATTTAGTAGTTTTATCAAGAGATTTTTTTTCAACATAAAAAAATCTATTAATGTCTCTCTCTTTACTCGAGAGAGAAGAAAACAGAAACAAAAAATGAAAAATGACTAAAAGTCATTTTTTTTATTTCTCTCTCATTTTACACTAAACCAAAAAATCATTTTCATTTCCGTTTTTTATCTTTAATTGTGTCAAAGGCCGGTCCTCTCTCGTTTTCATTTTTTTTCTTGAAAAACGTGAAAAATAAAAATAAAAACAACTCCAAACACAGTCAATATCTTTCCATTACTCGTTGCAGACATGCCCTAATAGTAATTCTACATCAGATTCCACTTTAAGTTGTAAAATTTGAATTCTCACCCTAATGTTCCTTTTTTCACAATGTCAATCACAACTTAAACTTGTTATTACAATGCTTTATCTTACAAACATTCAAATCCTTTTTTTTAATACAATAAATGGTATCCTAGAGCTTCAGATTAAGTCATGTCCAGATCATATGAAAGGTTATGTGAAGACTTTAATTAGTGAGTGAAATATTTCTTAGGCAGTCGTGGATAATTAATATATACCGTAGCCTTTTATAAATATTGTTGATCAATCAATCTTTCCCATATTTAGGGGATAAAGTGCATGCCAAGGAAATTGCTTAGGATGTTTATTTATTTATTTATTTTTCATTCTTAAAGAAAAGTAGAAAAGAAAGTTAAAGAAAAAGATACAAGAAAAAGTAATGCTTAATGATTATTTCAACATTTATTTATTAATGGATATTATTGTTTTAATCTTACGATATTAATTCGGATGAAATAAATTGAATAGTTGACAACAAAAATTAATAACAATTAATCAAATTAGATTTTTATTACGTCACATCATTAAATTTTTATATTTAAAAGTGACCACCGTTAAAAAAGTAACCATTGAAAACTCGTCCTTACATGTATATATTTATATATTTAATAACACACTGGAACAAAGTATTTTATTTTAACTATATTTAGATCTTCTGAAAATCCTAGATTTTTTTATGATTTTTGGTAATGTTTTTAAAATGATTTTGTTTTCAATACAAAAGTAAAAATAAGATTGTTTTGAGAATCATTCTGAGACCGATTCTGAAATTATGTTTGGTTTATTTTTTAAGAGATTGTTTTGAGTATAATAAGGTGAAATCGTGTTTGGTTATAATTATTACTTAATATATATTATAACATTGTTAATAAGTACTAGAAAATTAAAACAGAAAAGGAAAAATAACTTTCATTCATTTTCTAATTCCTTTACAAAAACCATTCTCACTGTTTGTTTTTGTTTTTGTTTTCAAAATATTTGCTAAAGAAACACGGTTTGCATACTGTTTTTATTTCCGTATCTCAAAAAATATGCAAAAACGTTTTCAAAAACAAACAAAAATCAATTCCAAACATACATGGTATTTTTCATAACAATAATGGAGGTAGCATGATAATGTAGTAATGATGGTCGTGACCATTCAGAAGGCTAATATGAAACGGCCTAATATGAAAAACTTGCCAAAGTAGGGCACATATATATTGATCATCATCAACCTATAGAAAAACGACAAAATAACATTTTGACAAATATTTTGGCTTATGCATCACGTACTCAATACTATTGTTCCTATTCTATATGTTAACTTTCCAACATATGTAGTTGGAAAGTAATATAAATTTTTTGGACACGTAGACTCTTTTTTTTTTTTGTTAAGGAACATATATGCTAGTTGAAGTTCACAAAATCATGTATGTAAATCAACATTCAATGAAAAAGTTAGTGAAGGTACAAACATCCCATAATAAACTTTAGCAAGTGTTAAGAGAGCTTTCTGGATAAGTTAAATTTCATTATCCTCTTCCCAAGTACCATGAAGATTATCGTGGGTATATTGACATTTGAAAAATCATAATTCTAAAAATAAAAAAAATAAAAAAATAAAAACCCCCCAAATTACTCGAGTAGAATGATTATCAGTTTCCCTTTTTCTAATTCAATTAAATGCAAAGATTTTGCACGAGAAAATTTGGTAACGTGCTAATAATAAATCTTTAAACAAAATTTTCAAAACACTTTGACATCTAAAATCTAAAATCAAAGAAGAAGGTTGAGATATATAGTATAGAGAATAATATACGGTTTGTCATTGTTTTATTTAAGCCTTTTATTTATGTCATTCTAAATAATCGAATGTTATTATGATATTTATTTTCTCTTTATTAATTGAATGACAATTGCTTACTTTTTTAGTTTAGTGACATAAATAATATCTTTTACCATCTTGAATGGTATTTCTAGTTGCCTTTCATATAGTACAACCTTACTAGTCATATTAAAATATTAGTATTTTATAAATAACAAAAATTAAAACCAAATTACAATTACTACATAATTTTGTAGAGTAAACACTACATAGAAATAATAAAAATTACTATCCATAATTTCTATATAAACCGTGAAAATCATTATAACAAGTACTACATAGTTTTCTATTTTTATAATATTTAAAAAAAATGCTAAAGAATATGGCATAAATAACACTATATAGAAATTTATGACAGTGGAGTAGATCATAATTTTTTTGAATTATTTTATGACTAAATATTAAATAGTAATTATTATAATGATGTTCACATTTTATACTAATTATTTGAATAATTTAAATTTTTACTATCCATAAAATTATTCCAAATTTTTCAAGAATACATTGCACATAGTGGGCCTTGTTTCTAAAAGAAAAGCCCAACTAAGACCCAATAGCAAATATAAGCTCACAAAGAATGCTGGGCCCAATAAAAGCCTATTAAGCCAGTTGGATCCAAATGGCCTATAATCCTCTTATGCGCTGGATAACCTAGTGCATCCTATCGGCGCACGATAGCCGGAATCTTCTGTAAGTGGTTATCGTTCTCCATGGGATGCGCTTTACCCTCCCCCTCCTAATTTCCCCGCCACTTTCCACTCTCACTCCACTCTTTTCCTTTCTCTCCTTTTAATCTCTTCAGTTCGTTATTGACCGTTAAAAAAAGTCACCCATTTCAGGTACGCCTCTATATTTATTTTGTCTCTATTTATATTTATTCCTCTCTCTCTCTAATCTATTTGAATATGAGAATTTTTTGTTCATTTCAATGTGTAATGCCATTATTGTTTCATGGGGAGAAGTACTTTTGATGGGTTTTGATCTGTTTTGGAGGGACCCAATTGTGATTATTGGAATTTGAGTGGATCAAAATGTGTTGGAGATCGTTATTTCAGTCCCTTTTTGTTGATATTTAGTAGATAAAGAGGAATAAGAAGAAGGAAAAAAAATGACCATTTTTATGAGAGTCTCTAAACAAGTAATCACCTAAAATAGTTGGGAAGTTTTTATTTTTGATTTTTTAGTTTTTTTTTTTTGGGTGATAATAAGTAGTTAGAGAAGTTACAAAGGATTGTTTAGATTAGCCCACATTGTGGTTTCCAGAGGCTGTTACAAGATCATCGTGTTGTGACAGTTTGAAGATAAGAGGGGAAAAAGAGAGACCATTTTGCTTTTGTGTGTGTGTGTGTGAGAGAGAGAGAGAGAGAGAGAGAGAGAGAGAGACCATTTTGCTCTTGTGTGAGCTTCTGAAGGTTATTACAAGATCATCATGTTCTAAAATGCTTGCTGTGTATGGATGTGTTTCTCAGGTTGCATCTATAGTTTCTTTAGTCTTTTGGAGGAAATATGTCTGAAGGAACAAGTCTAGTGATGGAATCTTCTGAGAATGGCACGGATTTATCCCAAGATGATGTTGGCACAACAGGGGAAACTCCCGAAGACTCGATTTTGTCACGACAGACATCGGTGAACCTCGTTCCGTTTATTGGCCAGAGGTTTGTGTCTCAAGAAGCAGCATATGAATTCTATTGCAGCTTCGCGAAGCAATGTGGATTTTCTATCAGACGTCACCGCACTCGAGGCAAGGATGGGGTCGGCCGGGGAATAACAAGAAGGGATTTCACTTGCCACCGTGCTGGATATCCACAGATGAAGCCATCTGAAGATGGGAAGACGCAGAGGAACCGAAAATCCTCGAGGTGTGGTTGTCAGGCTTATATGCGGATCGTTAAGCGAGCAGACTTTGATCATGTCCCTGAATGGCGTGTCACGGGCTTTAGCAACATCCATAACCACGAATTGCTGAAATCGAATGAAGTTAGTCTTCTTCCGGCCTATTGTGTCATATCTCCCGATGACAAGAGCCGGATTTGCATGTTTGCAAAAGCCGGAATGTCTGTGAGACAAATGATGAGATTGATGGAGCTAGAGAAAGGTGTTAAGCTTGGTTGCTTACCCTTTACCGAAATAGATGTGAGAAACCTATTGCAGTCTTTTAGAAATGTTGACAGAGACAGTGATGCTATTGATCTTATTGCAATGTGCAAGAAACTGAAAGATGAGAACCCCAACTTCAAATATGACTTCAAGATAGATGGCAACAACAGGTTGGAGCACATTGCCTGGTCTTATGCTTCATCTGTTCAGTTGTATGAGACGTTCGGAGACGCTGTAGTTTTCGACACGACTCACCGGTTGGAGGCGTATGATATGTTGTTGGGAATTTGGCTTGGAGTAGACAATCATGGAATGACTTGTTTCTTTGGTTGTGTGCTTCTAAGGGATGAGAATATGCAATCTTTTTCCTGGGCCTTGAAGGTAAGAAGCTTAAGGCAAATTCCTAAGGCAATGGACCATAATCTTTTCATGATCAATTAGATATGAAAATAATTCATTTAAATCAATAACAAACCAAAAAGAGAAAAAAGTTTATTTGGCCATTCTCTTTCTTTTTATGTTTTCTTAACGGTAGAACAGAACAGTTACCGAGCAAAAATTCAAATTATTGGGTCCCACACTACTATGTGTTGCACTGACACGTATATAATGTGTTAAAGCCTTATTCTTCCTGATGGGGTTAAAATCACGCTACTCACATAAGGTGGGTCATGCTAACTGAATAGGTGGAACCCAACTTAGTGGAACCCACCACTTTGTGAGTATGGGGTTTTATCCCCGTCGGGATCATTTTTCGTTTGGGTAAAGGGTCTGACAGAACCTTTTGGTTCAAATTCAAATTGTAGTGAATTTTTGTAATATAAAACACCGTAACAAAAAAGATTTGAAGCAGAACCGTATGGACTTGAACGCATTACCCAAACAAAAACATAGTTATTGCGGCGTTATTGGTGATAAATAGCAATTTCTTTCTTGTAATTTACCTTCATGTTTTTAGTTGTCCTTAACAACTATGATTTTTTTCAACAGACATTTTTGGCGTTCATGAAAGGAAAGGCTCCGCAGACGTTATTAACGGACCACAACACATGGCTGAAAGAGGCCATTGTTAATGAAATGCCTCAAACGAAGCATGCATTTTGCATATGGCACATCATAGCAAAGTTCTCTAACTGGTTTTCTGTGCTGCTCGGATCGCATTATGATGAGTGGAAAGCGGAGTTTCATCGGCTTTACAACTTAGATTTGGTAGAAGATTTCGAAGAAGGATGGAGAGACATGATCAACAAATATGGACTCCACGCAAATAGGCACATTATCAGCTTATATGCACTTCGTACGTTTTGGGCTTTAGCCTTCTTGAGGCACTTTTTCTTCGCAGGAATGATGCATACATCTCAGGCAGAGTCGATCAACACCTTTATCCAACGATTTTTGAGCGCACAGTCACAGCTAGACCGTTTCATAGATCATGTAATCTTCATCAACTCATTTGTGTGTTTGTTGATTTCTTTCTTCTTCTGCTAACTCTAGTAAGTATTCAACACCCTTTTTTTCTTTGCAGTTAGCTGATGTTGTTGAGTTTAAAGACCGGGCAGGAGCAAAGCAAAAATTGCAGCAGAAACTGCAGAAGGTCTGCCTCAAAACAGGCTCACCGATCGAATCACACGCCGCGTCTGTTCTCACTCCTTATGCCTTTGGCAAGCTCCAAGAGGAGCTTGTGCTGGCGCCTCAGTATGCATCCGTGTTGTTAGATGAAGGTTGTTTCCAAGTCAGATACCACACACAAATGAATGGTGGCTGCAAAGTGATCTGGCTTCCTTGTCAAGAGCACATCAGTTGTAGCTGCCACCAGTTTGAGTTCTCAGGCATCCTATGTAGGCATGTTCTCCGTGTCCTCTCAACCAATAACTGCTTCCACATCCCAGACCAGTACCTACCAACCCGTTGGCGCGATGTCAGCTCATCAACTTCCACCTACTCCTTTCAAAATACGGCCATAAGAGATCACTCCGGAAAGGTTCAGTTCCTAGAGTCCATGGCTTCCACTCTTGTCACAGAATCAATTGAGACAGAGGAGCGCCTGGACGCAGCCTGTGAGCAAATCTCCATGGTGTTATCGAGGATCAAAGACCTTCCTCGCGCAATGCATAGCGCGAACGACGCCTACAATTGTCCCTCAGATTCGTTGATTCTTCAGGAAGTGGAAGACGAAGATGGAATTGTTCGGTTCGCAATTGGGAATGCTCACGAATCTGTCTCCTCAGGAAAGCTCAAGGAAAGAAGAGCAAGAGATGGGGTTGACATTGCTAGAAAGAGAAGGCATTTTTCGGGGACTTGTTGTGGACAGTTTGGGCATGATGCATCTGAGTGTCATCTAATGGGAGGTGATCATTTGAATGGAGATGCACTTGGGTACTTGTAGGGTTATAGCACTGAAAATGGAAGCAAGTCTATAAACGAATAGTGACAACCTTATGTGGTAGAGCTTTTTCCCTTATAAGTCAATAATTATATATATATATATATATATATATATTTATCAACGTGAGGATTTGAGCTCAATTCTACGTATTACGTACACTCAGATACCACCACATAATTCAAGTGGGTTGGTAAGGCACTAAGGCTTGTATCCTTTAAGCCAATTTTGAACTCTTGAGATTTGTTCTTTTTAAGAATATACAAAAGAGAGAATCATCCGTTATCTGTTAATACTATGATCAGTTTCATGAATTGTGTTCAAATTAACTGGAGATTTTTGCTTTCCCTTTGGTCTTCAAGTCTCAGTAACTTTTAAATTGAAAAAGTATTTCTGGACTTGTTAATAGTATGGAGCCAACAAATTGGTGCTAAACCCGTCAAAGGCCATATCATTTTGGCTATTACGTAAAATTGAAGAATCTGTTCATATTTGCTAATTTGCTTTTCTTCATATTGCTTTATGAGCTAAGGTTCTAAAATCATACATCATGGCACTTTTCTCTGCACTTTTTCTATTTTCAAGCACCTTTACAAAATATCCTCAACAATATGATGTAGTGAATATAGTTCTGCCCCTTTGCTCTCCTTGTTGATAACCTGCTCTGGACACATTTTACATCACCATTACTCTTCAGTCATGTTCTTTCTTTTTTAATAAGGAAAAAAAATTAAAAAAAAAAAAAAGAAGAAGAAGAAGAAGATACAATTAGGCATCACAAAGTAGCATAATTAATATCACACCATATCTCAGTCTTCTGCATCTTCAGCCAGGGAAACCTTGCTTAGCCTGCTTGGCAACAACCTAGCGGCGTTGCTCGAAATCCGTCTACCGCCGGTCTGGCGATGGCGCGAGCCAAGGAGTGCTCTCTTTGCAAGGGCTTTCTCCAAATCTGAACTAGTTGTGCCTTTGGTGTTGGGCTTCTTCTCTTGAAGATTCACTTGGTTGCTACTAGTGCAGGCCTCAAGGTCCCCAATATTGGCCTTGCCAGAAGCCATTGTTGAAAGAGTGATATTGGTAATGTGGGATTTTTGAAGGTTGGTGAAGAATGGCAAAAACTCTCCAAGTTTTAAATGGTTAGTGGAGAAATACCAGCCTATGATGATGGGAAATTATCAAAGGAATATGTTTGGGAACAAGTGGGCTAATATGGAGGAGCCATATTGGAGGAAGGGTTCATAGAGAATCTAGATGTAAAAATTCTTACTCATGGAATATGTTTTTTTTTTGTTTTTGTTTTTGTTTTTTTTTTTTGTTTTTTGATGTCTTGTGTTGTAAGAAACAGAAGATGCACCAAAGGGAAATTGCCCACTTTTACTTGTCTGTTATATTGTAGCACTTTCTGATCAGGATATTTTTTGAGGTTTATAAGTCAAAATTAGGAGAATTTAAGGGTAAGGTAAAAATTTTAAAAATAAATTAAAATGAAAATATCATCAATGTTGTGCAGTTTTAGTGGTAAGTTAATCGTTAAAAATCCGTACATATATTATATACACAATGATAGAGAAGGGGGGCTGGAGCCATTTTTTTTTTCTTTTTTAATATAATGGTTTTAATTTTCATGTAGTAATGTAGCAGTAGGGACGCGTATAAATTAGACTTAACTGCGTTAGATTAATAGTTCTCTATATTTATATCTCAATTCTAGATTTCTACAGTGGTTCGACCGTTGTCAGAGATCGCCAGTCCCGCCGCTGCTGTATCTGGAGATCGCAAGCTGTCGCCGTTCTCCATCTCCGAGTTTCGGCCGTCCGAGATCGCGACGAACGTCGTGATTAGGAGAGGATCTTCATGCTAGCGCCACCTCGTAATAATTATGACCGTTGTAGTTTGGAGGATCGTCGGCGTTCTGTCACGGTGATCGGAAAGGCGCTGTCAGATCCAACAATGCCGCGATCTACCATCACGTCGCCTCGCGATCTAGTCGGATTTGTATGGTTACGGTGTCGCGCCGGTCATCGGTCGCCGACCTCGTCACTTCCGTTCTCTTGTATTGAGTCGTGCTTTAGAAGTTTGGTATTGAGGGTTGAATTGAAACTATGCTGTAATGTGCATACTCGTGGTAGTTTTATTGTCGTGTTTTGAGGAAAAAATCTATTTTGTATTTTGTTTTGGTAAAATCTTATTTGGTCATTTGGTAAGTTATGCTGTCGCTATGGCGGAATGTACAACTACACTATGGTTAGCATTTGTTAATTGTATATATTTCTTGAAAACATTTTATTTTATTTTTAGTTTTTTGTTGGAAAAACTGAGCAATTATTTGCGTATTAAACAATATTTGTTGCAGATTCTGATAATCACAAGTCAAACAAGCTAAAAATCTTATAGAAAGGATATTAGTCTTTTTGTATATTAATTTGAATCTGGTAAATAATTTACGCTTAAATATTTTATTGAATTCAGGTTTGAATACGGTAAATACTATATTTTTCAGTAATTATTTCACTTAATCTAATTCTCAATTTCTTAAATATGGTATTTATCAATTGCTGGAGCTGGATTTTTTGGATGGATATAGTAAATACGATATTTATCAATCGTCGGAGCCGGTCGACGGATTTTCGAATGAATATGGTAAATATGATATATACCAATAAATATGGTATTGGTAAATACAGTATTTATCAGTCACTAGAGCCAGTCGCTGAATTTTCAGATAAATATGATATTTATCGATAAATATAATATTTATTAGTATCGGAGCTGGCAGCCAGTGCCAGCCATGATGAACTTAACTAGAGGAAAATGAGAGAGAAGTAGGAATGAGACTTAAGAGTATTTTTGAGTTTTTAATAATGTTTGAAATTTAAAATATCTATGTTATAATTTACTATTTTGAAATATATATATATATATATGCTATAATTTTTTCTGCTTCCCCCTTTAATTTATTGAAAAAAAAAAACGCGTTTTTGTTTGATTAGATGGATGAAAGGATGCCTCATTATGTGAAAAAACAAAACAAAAACAAGAGGAATATTTTTAAATCAATTTTAGCGGTTTGCATTTTGCACTGCATGAAGAAAGTTCGCGAGTGGGAATATCACCTTCTTGAATAAGAATCTTATGAAATGAAAGTGTTCATAAACCGCAATAGAATAGTCAACTCCTGAACCAAAACTAAAAAATTTGAGCACACCATTGAAAAGAGTAATGCCAAGTGTCTTGATTATTAACCTAAACTTTTCATAACAACAAATAGACACGGAGCCAACTCAAGCCCCACTCAACTATATATTTTGACTTTTAAAAATATATGTACATAAATAAAAAATTTACTATAGTAACATATACTTTGCCCCCACTAAAATTTAAGAATTTAATCTTATAGTCTCTACTAAATATTTGTCTTAATTATTAGCCCCCACTAGTTTACATTTTTAGCTTTGTCACTGCCAACAAATAGGGAATTATATTTTAATATCAATTAACGTGATAGTTTTTTAACTTCTACTAATAAAAAAAATAGGGAATAATAGTTTGATAATCAATTTTTTGGATAGATGCTTGAATGGGGTACAGAAACAATATTTTGGTTTGAACATCAACTTTCCTTTGTTTTTATTAACGTGATTGTTTTTTAACTTCTACTAATAAAAAAAAATAGGGAATAATAGTTTGATAATCAATTTTTTTGGATAGATGCTTGAATGGGGCACAGAAACAATATCTTGGTTTGAACATCAACTCTCCTCTTTTTTTTACCAAAAAAACACTATAAATGTGGATTTATTCAAATCTTGAGGGCAGGTAGGATATATATATGTAACGACCTTAAGTATTAAATAGGTTTAATTATATTAATTGTGATTTATTAGTGTGCTGATTTTTTAAATTAATCAAGGAGTTTTAAATTACTTTCAATATTTACAATTCTACCTCAAAAGTACGTGGAAATACAAACTTCCACCCCTTTCTTTTAATTATCTTTTAATATTATTTTATTCTTTTCTTTATATTTTTTTACTTCTCCCTCAATTCTCTCTATGTCTCCCTATCTCCCACGTTCCTCTCTCAGAGCTCTTAGCGCGCTCTCTCTCTCTCTCCCTTGTTACCCTTTCTCTCCCTCTCTTTCTCTCGAAGTTTTTCCTCTCTCTAAGAAGTTTTGAATTAGATCTAAACCAAAACGATGATCTCCAAGAAGTTTTCAACCCTAAAGCAAAGATCAAGGTAAATCCTTTGAAAACATACTCTTGAACCTTGGATCTTAACTTGATGAAACTTGATTTCTGTTAAGTTTGGTGAATTTTTGTTTAGATTTGATTTTAAATGGATTTTTTAATGGGTTTTGATGAAATTTAGGGGTTTTTGATTCCTTGGACACCATTTGATGATTGGAACCTGGTTTTGTTGATTCCCCATGAGATTACCTTAACATCCAACATAAGAACGCATGATTTGGCCTTGGAACCCGCGTATCAGCCACTTTTCTTGGCTAATCTGCTCCACACCAGTCGACCGGGACGGTGGACCGGTCACCACTCCACCGGCTGACTGGTGGAGTTGCACTTCTCTGCCACCGGTCGACCGGTGTGCACTTCGCTTGCCTTAAAAACGTTCCAAAAACTTGATTTCGACTCGAAACTCAATGTATAGCCAACCTAACTTCATTTAGAAACTCAAAGTGAGTGGATTAGCCACGTTAATCCTAGTTCCCATTCAATTCTCAAAGAATCGTGATTTGAATTAAGAATTGTTTATAATTTTGAATTTGAGTCAAGGCACACTAGTATGATACAATTGTATATAATTAAACTAGATTGTTTAGAGGAAATGATTAAACTCTAAACTGTTAGTTTTGATGACAAAGCTAGCAACACGATTGGACTTGGAGCTTCAAAGACAAGTGGAGCTGGGACTACGTGAAGTTATTTGTAGAGTTGATATCTGAGAGGTAGGATATTCTTGTTCATATCCTTGTTAGCATGTTTTAAAGTGTTTTGGTCTATGTAAATGTTTTTAAAGATAAAACAAGTTTGATAAAGAAAAATATTTTAAGACAAGTGTTTGATCTCATAATGAACTGATTTAAAGTTTTAATGAATATTTTCTTAAGATAAGATATTTTACGAACTGGTAAGCCCGCTGATGGCCTAGACAGGATATGGAGATCGTATCCTTGAGGGCAGGACCCGAAACCCGGACGGGCCACTACAGTGGTGTTTGGCCTTACATTGGTCGTAGGTAATTTAATTATTTAAATTACTTGCTAGTTGTTTGTAATCTGGAATTTTAATTTATTTTCCTTTCAGAAAAAGGTTGTTTGGTTCTGATTGATTCGTTCGGGCTTATACTTTTATTTATTTATTCAAATTTATAAAATTATATCCTACTGGGCATTTCGCTCACTTTTCTTTGTTTCAAATGTAATTTAACCCCTATTAGGCGATGCTAGAAGTAGCGCAGAATAGGTAAAGAATTCCAATCAAGAAGAGAAGAAGCGGTGAAGTGTTTCCTTCATTATCGTATTCATTTAAGGCATGTATAAATGCTATGGATTGTAAATTTAAACTTTACTAGAATGTAGTTGATGTTAGTCATTTACATTTATGTATTTATTTATGTATGCACAAGTGTAAACCCTATGGATGCCAGAGGCTGACTTTTGAAATTGATTTGATGATGATTGAAATTTTATAAAGTCTGCCTTACTCTTTCCTTAAACTCAATTTCTTTAAAATAGTATGATTTGTTTATAAATTTTTATATTATGCTATCTTTGACTTTGACTTTGACTTAATTACTTTTTAATCTATACTTTATTTCTAAACAAGGCTCAACGTTACTAACTCTTATTTGGGCGTGACAATATATCATGCAATTTTGTTTAGTTAAAATTAGTTTGCACTTTTATCTCTTTCCTTTTGATGAGGTAGAACTTTCTTATGTGTGCAATCCACTAGATTATTCCCTATATTTCATCACACACGTTGGAACCTAGAAAGATATCATTATAAAGGATTGGAAAAAAAAAAAAAAAAAGCCCAGATCATAAGCACCAACTTATTATATAATGCAAACCGACACCCAATATTCGTTATTCTTCAATTGTCTTTTTTGTTCTTTGCTAGCCCTACTTTAAAGCCTTTTTCTTCATTTTTCCACCTACAAAACTAGCTTTTTCAAATTTTGGAGCTTTGATGCCCATATTTGTCAACATTTGAAGGCTCATATTTAAGATATTTAAAGCTCTAGGCGGAATACTCACCCTCCACATTTGCACTTTGTACTTTACTCCAATAATAGGGTTCAAATCAAACATTATTGCATATTATCATGACATGACAATTTCTAGGCCCATAATTTGGCCTAATTTTTTAATATCTCAAATGGGTATTTTTAGAGTTTGAACAGAATTGCCTGGCTAAATTACTCAATTTTGAAACTGGGGACAAATAATAAAATGCCTGGCTATGGTTTCTCAAGAAAATTTGATTGACTAGCTTGGCCCGTGAAATTGAAAGCTCAGGTCACAATTCTATCTAACATGTGCATAAAGAACTCACAACATAAAGCCAAAATGTACTCTGGTTAGAAAGAGGGACAATTTCACAAAGAAGAAAAAAAAAATTTCCAAAGTGTACACGTGTCTCTCCATATGCAATTGTGACTACATCACTTTTTTTATTTTTATTTATAAAAAATAAAGGAGTAAATGTGACTTTATCTTTTGCAAGCAGAATACCTTTCTAGCAAAGTTTTGAGAACCAACCATTGTTCCCTACGTGAATACTTAATCAAAATGCCTATGCTTTTAAACCCCCCCTTTGGGGAATCTTTACCCTTTAAGCAACCTTTGCTCCAAGCGATTCTCTATTAACTAATTCCCTCCCTCTTTTCTTGTCACACCGAAAACTTGTTTTTAATTAAAAAAAAAAAAAAAAAAAACCATTAGTCCTCTTCCTTTCCCTCTTGGGGTCAGGTCAGCCTGCATGAATTCTAGCCCGCCTTGGACACCAAAGAAATGCCGAAAACCATGGTAGTCACGCACGCAGATCTCGCCCCTAGCCGTCGGAGAACCGATTTGGGCAGCAAACTTGGTGTCTTCCTCATAGTCTTGACCATTCTCTGTGGCTTGTTTTGCTTCATTCTCTGCCTAATTGCTGAAGCCACTCGTTCAGAGGTACCAAAAGCATAACAAGAAGAATCCTCATTAATATTTATTTGTGTGTATGTAAAATGCCAAAATGAATTGACTTTTTTTTTTGTTTTTTGGTTTTTTTGGTATGATATGGTAGATGACATGGATAGCCAATGGAGATAAAGGATCAAAAGAGGAGAGATATGAATGTGTGTATAGTGGAAGTGGGAAAATGCCATTGTTGTGTGCTGCAAGTGCATTTGTGGGATTGGCAATTGCCATGATGATTGAACACACATTCATGTTGATTGCAGTCAGTAAGCTACCACCTTCTGCTTTGGTCTGTTTGGACACTGATTCAGGCTCCTCTAGGACTTTGACTTGGCAAGCTGGTTTCTTCTTTCTCACAACTTGGTATGCCCATCTTTCTTTTCCATTTTCATCTCAATCATAACATTAAACTTTACCAAGTTTATTAATCGTGCATAGAATTTCTGGATCAATTAGAGGAATACCACTTTTACAGGGTCGCAAAGTCTTAATTTTTATAACTATACTTCAAAAGTGATATATGGCCTAGCTTAGAACCAACCATAGAAGGTGGGCGCTCTGTACTGTATATCACTTTCTAATGATACTATAAGAAACATTAAATATCATTATTGATAATTGTCACTATTAGCCTTGTGGCTATGGAAAAATTTACATGTATAATCATTGTGTTTCTTATATAATAGTATATGGACTCGTGCTGGTATGACAACTAACACGTGAATTTGTGATTGGTTAATTACTAAATTAATAAACTAAGAGCTTGTTCGGTTGTAATTTTAAATTATGGTGATTTGAGTGTAGATTTTGAGTTGAATTTGAGTTATAATTTGAGTTAAAGTTGTAACTTGAGTTTGTGTTTGGATGTGCACATTGAGTTATGATTTGAATTGATAATCTATTTGAGTTTGTGTTTGAGTGGGTCAAAACTTGAATTTGTATTTAGATAGTATTTTAATAAAAACTCAATGGTGATGAAAAATTTTAATATGGTATATGTGTAGGGTTTAATTCGTCTTTTCGTTGTGAACGCATAGAAAAAAAATCATTTCAATCGGAATTAAATCGAAAAAAGTTATGACGTTTTAAGAATAGAAAAAATATTATTCATTAACTTGAGTTTGAGTTTAAGAACTTAAATTAAAGGGGAAACTTGAACTCAAATTTTAACCCTAAACTCAAGTTACAACTCGAGTTAAAACCCAAGTTCAAATTCGAGTTCAATTTTTTTTTTTTTTTTTTTTGAGTTTTACTCTAAAAGAACAAGTTCTAAATCTTATGAATTTTTTAGGATTTGTTTTGCTGTTGGGGAGATATTGTTGCTGATTGGGCTGAGTGTGGAGTCAGGGCATTTGAAGAATTGGTCAAGGCCAAGGCCAAGTTGCTTTGTAATAAGAGAAGGCATTTTCTCAGCTGCTGGGGTTTTTGCCTTGGCTTCAGTTTTCCTTGCTGCTGGGTTGTACTTGACAGCTCTAAGGGCACAGAGGATGTCCCAAGAGCAAGAAAACGTGAGGCAGCAGATTCTTGAGGCCTCGGCCCTCTACGCGTCACCGCCGAGGTCACCCGGCCGTCACCACATCGCCGCCATTGCCAGGGAGGACCCTGTATTTAGAGAGGATCACAGTAATGACCAACCAAGTTTTGTGTTTTCACTGCCTTGTGGGAAGGACCCAAATTAGTCTAATGCTATAGGCCAAGCTGTTTGACGAAAAAGGAAAAAAAAAGATGCAATTGTACAAGGAAAAACAAAGGTGTAAATTCATACTTAGTTTTGTGTGTGTATATATATGTATTTAAAAAAAAAAATTCAGGATTGGAATAGAAAAGGGTTATCTCAACTAGTCTAAAGCCTAAGGTAATAAAAAAGAAAAAAATAAGTTCTTGGGAAATTTTGACTGTGTTTTGAGTTATTTTTGTTTTTGTTTTTCACTTTTTTTGAGAAAGAAAAAATAAAAACAAGAGAGAAACGGCGTTTGGCACAATTAAAGACAAAAAAAAGGAAATAAAAACGATGTTTTGATTTAGTGTAAAATGAGAGAAAAATGAAAAATGACTTTTTGTCGTTTTTCATTTTTTGTTTCCGTTTTTTCCTCTCTCGAGTAGAAAGGGAGAGAGACACATTAATAAATTTTTTTATACTTAAAACAATCTCTTGATAAAATTACTAAACGTATTTTTAAAAATATTTTTGTCTGAAATTAAAAACGTTTTTATTTTTATTTTCATATAAAAAATAAAATTATTTTGAAATTAGTTCCAAACGCATCTTTTGTTTACATATCCTAAATTTATTAAAGCACCTCTAATGTGGAAAAAAAGACGAAACAGGACAACATATCACGGAAGACAAAGTCATAATACTTGAAACTATACATCAAATTCTCCTAATCTACATATCCGTAAGAAAAGAATGAAACTTTTCAATTATTTAACAAATTTACTTCTTCAGAAAGAACGTATCTCTTTTCTTGAATAATAAATGAGGAATAAAAGTTTGTTTCAGAATAATTGCAATAAAAATGCATTCTTTCTAGATTTTTTGTTTTTTTAGTTAGTTAGGATTTAAATACCTTCTTCTGCAAATTAATTTGTGGGCGATTATATGTAATATGTATGAAATAGTGAAAAAAGAGAATAATGATCCATTTAAAAACAGAGAATAATAGAGTAAGAAAAAAAAGTGGGTGTGGAAGACGATTGAAGAGAAGCAGAAGGAATAAGGCGCACGAAGAGGGGGATTTTTGTTGAGATGTACAGAAGGATTATTGGTTTTTTTATTTTTATTTTTTATCTTTTTTAATTTTTCTCAGTGTCTTGTTTAATGATTTTTAATAAAATTGCGCGCCTTTATAACACATAAGAGAACTAAGTAGTGTGAAAAAAAATGGGGTCTAAAATTAAGTCATTTTCTTAATAAAGAATTATTAAATTTACTTTTAAGGGTGTATGAGTCTTAATTATTACTCCTTACTTTTGATTAGCATCATTTAATTAATATAATTATTTAATTAAAAGGATATTAATTAAAAATAAAAAGTAAAAACCTAAACTCATGCACTTTAAGAGTATATTTTTTTTTTTCTAAATTACAAGTGTTTGTACCGGGACTGAAAAGCCTACAAAAGACTTTAGTATCACTTTTTAAAAAGTTAAATAAAACTCATTTGAGTTGTGAATTTGAGTTAAAAAGTGAATTCATGTAACATAAAATATTGCTATAGAAAAAGTTAAATTTAAATTTTATGTGAGAGAAAACACGATAGTAAAAATTTGAGTTGTGATTTGAACTAGCGAAACGAACAGGTTTAGAGTCGCAAACATAGAATGGCTTGTAATGCATTTTGAGAAAAGTAAATTTTCCATTTTGTTTCGAACTCATTTGGGCATATTAATTTGGTTCAAATGATTGCACTCGTTTATTTTATATGTTCAAATTTTTTTGTTACCGTATTTTCTCTCACAAAATTTAAATTTCCGTTTAAACTTACAAACAAAACGGGCCAAACATCAAATCATAGAAATAGCCTAACTGTAATGGTACCCAAAATCTCTACATAAATAACACATCAACCTATGCTTTTTAGATACCACAATTTTACCTTACTAACACGTATGTATTGATGCATCACTTATATATAATAATAAATAAAAATGCTTTTTATTATTATTAGATTAATAACTTTAAAAAATATCAATTCTATGATTTCTATGATTTTCATTAAGAACCGCCTAACATAGGTTTTATTTTCTTATGAGTGAGACAAAAAGAAAAATAAAAATAGTGTTTTTTTTTTCTTTTTCCTTTTCGTTGCTTAATGCTAATGCAAATGAGTTGTGTGGACAAATTCCAAGTAAAATAATATGCGAGAATTAATTATCAAAAAAATATGAGATAATTAGTAAACTTACTCTTAATACTGTATGAGTCTTAATTTTTACTCGTTATTCTTAATTAATATTTAATAACATTTTGAGTAATATAATAATTTGACTAAAAAGATAATAATTTTTTTTTTTTTTTGGGAAAGTTGTGTGTGAGACTCCTTTCCCCAAATAATACATGTGATTGGAAAATAGCTTGGGATAGTTGGGTTTGGGCTTTTGAGAGTTTGGGTGGGTTCGTGGCCCGTAGGTGAGTGGTTAGAACTTTGTGGGCCTAAGATGTTGGTGTGAGCTTTGAAAGGCCCACATAGGAGGGACAATCCAGTACAAAGTTAGGGGAGCTTTCAGGATCAATCAAATAGTAATTTCTCTTCTTTTTTCTCCTTCATTCTAATGGAATTATGGATGAATTTGACGTCATACATATGTGTTTTTTTATTGGAAATTTCAGTCAATATAATTTTCCACTATAATCATATCATATCATATTGCTTACTAAAAAAAGAAAAAAACTGGAATCATATTGCATATTTTGAATAAAACTTGCGCATAAGTGGTTGGTGTTTTCACTAGAACGCTCACCAAAATATACAACACTTGTTTATAAAGTAAAAGCTTTTTATTGTTTCTTATTATTAGTTTGCTGTGATTATTATTTTTTATATGAGAATCAATTTTTTCTCTTTTGTTATTTTAATGAGATGAAATGAGAATAAAAAATGTCTTTGGTAATCGTAGTATTATTTTCATTTTTTAAGAAAACAAATTAATAGTGAAAACATAAATAAATAAATCAAGCCGGGCTCTCCAACCGACCCAACCATATCGCATACGTCCGCAATAATTTCCAATATTCCAATATATTATTTTTGTTTTAAAAAATCACATAATTATATTCTGTTAGAACAACATATATAGTTTTTAAAAGAATTAAATATATAAATTTGAAGAAAATTTTGTCAAAAATGAAAATGTTTGTAAATAGTATTTTTTTGGTAGAAAAATGATTGTAAATAGTGTAAATTAAGAGCATAATTGCCGAATCTAATGGAAAGGGAATAACAATAATGATCCTTTGTATTTATTTTTAGTATTTATTTTTTATCGAATATTAGAAAGTGAAATGAGAAGTAATCCATTTTTTTGTTTTTTTTCTTTTTTTAGAATCCATCTATTGTTTTTAGTATTTACTAAATTTAAAAATTAAAATCTTACAAATATGATTATCAAAATATTTTTTGAAATGATTAAATAGTCATTGCGTATAACATCTTAACTTATTAAAAATATGTAATTAATTTTTATATTATTCTCTTTAAATGCAAGAATTGATATTATTTTTTCTCATTTTTATATATGGAACTATCATTTTTAATTTAATAAGTAAAATGTATATGATTAAATGAGACAGGCAAAACTTTACTTTCTTAAGTTTAAAAAAAAACTCCTCGTTAGGTCATTCCTGTTTTCTTTTCAAGCAAAGTAAACCATTCTATTTTTTCTTTTTTTTTTTGAAAAATGAAAAAAAAAATAGAAAGACACCCTTTTATAAAAATAAAAAATAAAAAAAATCTTGTAAAATGAGAATTCGTGTCATGGTTCGAATTATGGGTGCGTTTGGAATTGTTTTCAAAACGTTTTTGTTTTTTGTATGAAAATGAAAACAAAAACGTTTTTATTTTCATTTTAGAATCATTTTTGAAAATGCATTTGGTAGTTTTATTCAGAGATTGATTTCAGTTTTAAAAAAAACTGAAACCGTGTTTGGTGGTTTAAGTTTTGAAAACATGTAATAATATATTAAATAAATAATATTATTAAATATATTAAATAAATATTATTATTAATATATATTAAATAAATATTATTATTAATATATATTAAATGAACGTTAATAGGGGGGCAGTCGAAGACGAGCGGCGGCGG